TACATTAGTGCATTAATGAAGAAACCATTTTGGAAATTAATATAATGATAGTAACATATATCTACAAAATGTACATAGCTTTTAATCCCATACTTTCATTTTTAAGAATTCAAGAGGTTCTATACATTTTATCATTTATGATGTGTTCATTTGTAAGTAACAATAAATTCAACTCAAACAGGTCAAACAACATTAGACTTAAGGAGTCATGGACCTATAGCCAAGAAAAAACATAGGCTTCTCTGGTTTAATTGAGCATCTCACTAATTCTCAACTCAGTTTCTTTTCAGCTTTTTTCTTTGACTTCTGGCACACCAATTTTGTGTGAAGGTGAATTCCCAAACAAAGTCATAAGAGGGTTGCTAACAACTTCTATGACATAGGCATTATTTTTCGACATTCTTTATGGATTCTAGGCACTTTCTCAGCAGGGTGTGTATGGGGGAAACAATTTTCCATTTGAAAGTCCTTACTTCACCAAATGCAGAAATTCTGTTTCCAGTCTCTGTGTAGCTCTGCCAATATATTCCAATGTAACTGATGACACGGAGATGCAAGAGTCATGCACAGGCTTCTGGCAAGATTGGGGATATTAACTCCAGGGGCAGCAGTTGTAGAGAATCATGTAGAAGTCCCCAGAACAGAGCACACTCTGTTAGTGGTGTAGTGATGCTCAGTGGGGCAGGCAGCAGTGGTCTATTTCTGTAGCAATGGGATATACCTACTGTGTGACCCTGAAGCAGGCCTGATTCTCTAGTTTTCCAAGAGCATTTGTGAACTCCTTGATATCTTTTAAAAAATTCATTTTCTGCTAAACTACCTGCCATTCATTTCCACTGTATATAAGTAAGAATTCTGGCTTACAATCATATATCTTTCTTTATCAAACCTAAGGAAAGAAAAGTCCTAAGAAATTCTCAAAAGAGCAAAAGTTCCTGTCTCTGAGATCCCTGACAACCCTATTTTATATGCTGATGGCCAGAATTGGGTCATTTTTTTCTTTTTCTGAATTACTGGGGCTTGAGGATGGGATTCCATTAATGATCTAAGTTCTTAGCCATGCCCTTTTCCTTTAAGTCTTAAGACATAGGACAGAGGAGGTAAAGATACCAGGCAAGGATTCGGACACTTTAGAGAAGGGTCAGTGGATAAGGTGTACAGGTGGGAAGTGCCACACACCTACCAGTCAGAATCACTTATCTGAAGCCCCTTATCTACTCCCAAAACCTGCTTTTCATACATGTATTCCTTTTGGGGTTCCCATCTCTGCACCACTGATAATGTTGCAGCTAGTCTACCAGCTGAAAACCTTGGACATAGTCCTGAGGATAAGCTGTCAATTCCAATTGATGGGATCAGCAGAGGTGTAACTTTTAAAGGGTTACACTTTTTGCCTGGTTTTTCAATCTCTCTTTAATAAGAATTGAGAAAACAAAAAAGAAGGATTTTCATTTTAATTTAATGGCAACATCAAGAAATTCAATCCTCTTTGTATTCTAGTTTCTAAATTTTCCTCTGTTATTCTTGGGCACGTATCAGCAGTAATATGTCCTTCCCACCTATCAAAGCCCTTTTTTCATTCGTTTCATTCAGTCATTTCCAAGTGGATTAGACTGTTCCCGAGGGACTATATTTCATAGCATTTGGAAACTATTCTGTGCAGTATGTTTTTCAAGAGTGTATCTCATCCTCAGTACCAATGACAAGTTTTTGTTGTGGGGGACTATCTTGTACGTTAGAGGTAACACCCTTGACCTTTGCTCTCTAGACGCCAGTAATATTTCTCCACCCCCCAAGTTGTGACAACCAAAAATATCTTCAGACATTGCTAAACATCTCCTGGGGGGCAAAATTACCTATGGTTTAAACCACTTAGCTAGACGAATACCTGGAGGACAGTGTGGTGTGTAAAGGCAGTGGAGTACATTCATAGTCTAAATTATGGTGGGGAACAAAAATTACAAAGTAGTGAAAGAACTTCGCTGTGAGTGGTAGATGAGACTCTTTGTTTTAAAGATTCTCAGGTGGTTGTTGAATCACCATCTTTCAAAGACAAGTGTTAATTTTCATAGAGAATACAGCCTAACCACAAATTGGAAGATATATACTTTCTCATAGACTCTATAATTTGCAGGGCGACGCCTCTCACAAGTGATCCATCTCTCTTGCTTCCAAATATATTTTCTTTGTATCATCCTTATGCAATATTCCTTTTTATTCCATTATCTATGCATACATTTGGTCAGAGATTTTAGATATTATTTGGAAATTTAATCTTGTAGTTTCCTTTCTGGTGATGGTGATGGTGGCTATTGTGGTATTTGGAACACAGATATTTTGGGTTCTCATTAAAGGGATGTTGAAAAACCATTTACCCCATATGTATCTTTGTCTATGATTTTGTATTTATCCTTGTTGAATCATTCCACCACCGCCAAGTATATTGCTTGTTTGTACTATTGGTTCTGCTGCATAATTACCGATTTCCTGCTCCTATCAGTGGATTACCCATCAACTTTTCTTATACCAGTAAATGATTCTACCTACCTACTATTCAGATGTTCAGGCCACCAAACTGGGTGTCATCCTTAAGCACTTCCTTTCTTCACCTTTCTATAGTTTATTGGTAAATTCAATTTTAAAAAAGATTTATTTATTTATACTTACAGAAATGGGGTCCAGGCTCGAGGTGTGGTGGGTGAGAGGATTCACAAGAGACAGAGTGGGGAGAACAGGTAGATCTACTGAAGTACACTACTGAGAGGAGCAGCAGGCAGGCTGAGAGTCTGCCATGCCATGTGGGTCAGCTCTCTGGCTGCGAATCAAACTTGCACTGCAGTGGCTTCGGAGAGCTTCATCATGTGGCGCTTTAACCCACTGCGCCACCAGGGAGAGTCCGGTTAATTCAATTTTTAACTCAAGAATATATCAACTTAGCTCACCCCTGCTAATGTTAGCTTTATGATCTTTTGCACAGATTTCTGAAATGGTGTAATGATTTGCCTCTGTTCCATCTTGCCTTTCTCTAATGCAATTTGTATATACTCACCAGTGTTATTTTATTATGTTTACTCTAGACTTTCAATCAAAATTGAAAGGGTCATGGGGCCCTCCCTGGTGGCATCATAGGTTAAAGCACAGCACTAAGAAGCTAAAGCCACTTCAGCGTGAGTTCGAGCCCCAAGCCAGAGGTGACTCACATGGCGAGGCAGACCTCTCCTGACTGGTCTGCTGCTCCCCTCAGCAGTGTACTTCGTCAGTTGGCCTGTTCTGCTTCCCACTCTGTCTCTGGTGAGCCCACCCACTGCGCTTGCACCTCTGGCCTGTACCCCAGTTCTATATGCATAAATAAATAAATCTTTAAAAAAAGTCATGGTAAAACAAATTGTTATAAAAAAAAGTGATATGTATGCTGTAACAATTACACAAAAAGGTCCAGAAATATTACACATTTTTACTTCTAAAGGTTACAATTTACCTTAATGTTTACTCCTTCTAGATCCAGCTCCATAGTACACAAATGTGCACAGGTGCATTTTCTAACCAGAAAAGGAACTATGAAATACATACTGCTCTGTGGTTTGCTCTGAAGTTAATGTTCTCCATCTTTCCATGGTAATACATCTTGATCTTATATCCAATCCATCTATAGTCAAATTTCTTTAATTGTCTTGAAAATGAATTTTACAGATGAGGTCTATTCAAACTGGGATTCAATTCCAACCATTAATGTCTCAGCTATTTTTTCCCCATAGGAATACATTGTTGGGGCTCTCCCTGGTGGTGCAATGGGTTAAAGCACAGCACTAAGAAGCTAAAACCACTTCAGCATGAGTTCAATCCCCAACCTAAAGGTGACCCACATGGCACGGCAGACCTCTTCTGACCTTCTGATCTTAAAAAAAAAAAAAAAGAATACATTGTTGAAGAGATAAGACTTGTTTTCCTGGAGAATATTTCACCTTTGGGGGGGGATGTATATGTGTCTAAGTGTATTTATTTAAAAGATTTATTTATTTATGCATACAGAACTGGAGTACAGGCCAGAGGTGCAGGGGCGGTGAGTGGCTTCACTAGAAACAGAGTGGGGAACAGAACAGGCAGATTGACTGAAACACTACTTAGAGGAGCAGTGGGTGAGTGAGGAGAGGTCAGCTCCCTGGCCAGGGATCCAAGGAGCATGTGCTGAAGCGGAAGCGGGTATCCTCCCTCTGGATTTGTCTGGTTACTTGCTATGGTGTTACTTAGTATGCTCCGCTACCCCCTGTGTTTCTTACAAATTGTGTTAGATACAAAGGTTTGATATTCAAGTTAAGCATTTTTTCTGGAATGTATCACATCAAACATCACAGGGTACATTACATACAGGATATTGCATCCAGAAACACATTATCAGATTGATGCACAGCATGACCTTTTCAACATGCAAATTGTGCCATGTCCCTATTGCTTATGCACCATTTATAGCTTCCTTTGCTATCCTTTCTACAATGTGAACTCTTTAATTAAAAGGGTTGAATGATTTAATGTGCAATTACTCTTCCAACTTCCATTCCACTCCCTACTTGCTTTTTAAGTTTTTACTTTAAGTTTACTTTTAAGTTTTACTTTTAAGTTTTTAACTCCCTGAACTTGTTAAGTGCTACCTCCTAGGGCCTTTGTAGTGGCCACCCCGTGGGTCTAGGTTTGCTCAGGAACACACTAACCCTTAGACTGCAAGGTCTCGGACACCTAGGTAGCCGAAAACTCTTGCAGGGGGTGGTAACAGGAGTTCTTCATCAACAAGTTGTTCCAGTGGCCCCACAGCCGTTGTTAACGTGAACGAATTCTGTCCGCCCGCCGCGGCGGTGAGGAGAAAAGGGAGAGTTCCATAGTGGCGAAAGCCAGGATCCTCGCCCGCTCACGCCCGGGTAATCTATGTCGCCACGCGATACCCTCACGTCACCGCGGGTACGCGCGCGCGCCTCGCTCCAAGTGCGCCTGCGCGACAGCTCCCGGAAGTGGCCGGATCCCAAGTGCAGGCAAAGCGTACGTCCGTCTGCCCGTCGGTCCGCCAGTCCGCGGGTTTGCCAACTCGGTACCCCGCGCGCCCGGGCCATAATCGCGGTCCCGCGGTCTAATTGGCCCGAACGGCGGCCAAGGCGTTCGCCATGGCGACGTTCATCTCGGTACAACTGAAAAAAACCTCGGAGGTGGACCTGGCCAAGCCGCTGGTGAAGTTCATCCAGCAGACATATCCCAGCGGTGGGGAGGAACAGGCCCAGTACTGCCGTGCGGCCGAGGAACTCAGCAAGCTGCGACGGGCCGCGCTCGGCCGCCCGCTGGATAAGCATGAAGGCGCGCTCGAGACGCTTCTGAGGTAGGCGCGGGGCGGGGCGGCTGCAGCCCCTAGTCACCTTTCTTTCTACCTTCCCCTTTCCTTGCCACCCACTGTCCAGGCTCAGCGCCCCGCCCTGGTTTGGTCCGGCGCGTAGGTGTGGTCTGCATTCCTCTCCTGTGAGCCGAGCGGCCGGACCGCCGCCCGCTGACCTGCAGGCTGTTCCTGCTGGGCCGCTCCAGTCCTCGGTCCACTGGGGTCTGGGTGGATGCCATTTCTAAGAACGATCAGCCACGTTCAGATCTCTCTTGCTACATTTAACCAGAACAAGTTCTTTTCACTTTTTTGGGAGGTCTCTAACTTGTCCCGTTTTTGGTCTTGATCTGGTTTAGATTTCATGGTAGTACTTGCTAAAGGAAAGTAGGAGACACTGGAACAAATGTCTTAAGTTTATTATAATCAGATTACAGATAGGGAATTCTAAAGGTTAGGAACAGTAATGGAAATGAAACTTGATTGACATAATAGAGCGTTAAATATAGTTTGAGGTCAGTTTATAAACAGGTATAATGGAGTAAATTTGTATATCTGGCTCTCACTGGTGATGCAACGGGTTAAGATGCAGCACTGCAAGTTGGCAGCAGCCACTTCAGTGCGAGTTCGATCCTTCACCCCGGAGGTGATCCACATGGCGCAGCAGACCTCTCCTGACCCGCCTGCTTCTCCCCTCAGTAGTGTACTTTGTCAGTTGGCCTGTTCTGCATCCCGCTCTCTCTGGTGAATCCTCTCACCATCCCTGAACTTCTGGCCTGTACCCCAATCTGTATGCATAAATAAAAATCTTAAGAAAAATTTATTAGATATTAGCAAATACTGAGCTCATTTTGCATTAAAAATTTTTATAGTACTATTTAGGATTGCAGAACCTTTATATAGCACTTTGATTAAAAACTTTTCGGTTTCCCTTGTTAATGGTCTCATTTTCCATGTGTAATGTATTTTGTTTAATTGAGGAACATAGCTGTATTAGGATACAAGTAGAAGTTCAGGTAAAACCTTAACTTATTCCTAGACTGAAAAGAGTAGGCATTTTGCTTCCTTGGTTTTAGGAAATCATCTTGCCTCCGTGGAGATCCCCTCATAGGCCAGCTTTGTTCTTGTATTGGGGAGATGTCCTTGGGTGCTCTACTGTAATTATAATAACCCGTTGAAATAGGATCTTATATGAGAGTACTTTTTTCTTTAACTCAGGCAAGAGCCCATGGGAGGCCCCTGATTTGTTGGCTTGTGTCCATTTGTGGTGATGGGAACTGGGCTAATTTAATTGCCCTTGTCTGAGTCACTTGGCTGATTTAACTTTTCCATCTTCCATGAATCAAAGGACTATTAGTATAGGCCAGGGCTCGTTGTCCTGGAAGGATACTGAAATGATTTTTCAGTGAGATTATGACCCCTTGGTGTCAATTTTAAAGATAAGACAGTTGCGTTGTGTGGCCTCCCTGGTGGCCCAAGAGCTTAAGTATCAGAACTATGAAGTAGTCTGTAGTCATGGCCGCACAAGTTTGATCCCCAGCAGGGAGCTGACCCACTTGGTACAGCAGACCTCTCCTGTCTAGCCCACAGCTCCCCTCAGTGTATTTTAGTCAGTCTGCTTTTCCTCCTTCTCATTTTGTCTCTGGTGAATCCTCTCATCCCCTTCTCCTCCCTCCTCTAGCCTGTACCCCAGTCTTGTGTGCATAAATAAATAAATCTTTAAAAAAAAAAAGATAGTTGAGTTGCAAAGACCATTAGCTTGACACTAAGTATAATCATTTTGTTACTTAGTTTCTTTTTCTGTCCATTGCCTGTTCTTTTTCTTTTTAAAAGATTTATTTATTTATGCATACAGACCTGGGGTACAGGCCAGAGTTTTATGGGTGAGAGGATTCACCAGTGGGGACAACAATAGGCAGATAAACTGAAATACGTTGCTGAGGGTGGGGTCAGGAGATGTCTGCCACACCATGTGGGTCACCTCCCCGGCTAGGGATCAAATTCCTGCTGCAGTGGCTGTGATAGCTTCATAGTGCTGTGCTTCAACCCATTGTGCCACTAGGAAGGGCACTGCCCTTTTTCTTTGCCCTTTTTTTAATTGGGTTTGTTTTTCCTTATTGATTTTTAGAAGATAGTAACATTTTCTGGTTATTTATTCTCTCCCCATTACTTATATTTCACATACCATCTTCAAGTCAAATTTTTATCATTCAGTTTTGTTTGTGGTATCTTTTATTAACAGAAATGTTGCAAATTGTTTTAATCTCCTAATGGGTAGCTATATATATTTTTTCCTCTTTTTAATAACAAGTCTACAATTTATTTTTATTTTCCTACCTTTCTCATTCATTTACTTTCTTTTCCTCTTGGTATCTTTTTGTATTGAATGATTCATTTCTTTTTGTTTTGCTAATACATTTAGGATTGCCTTTTTAGGGCTACTTTTGGGAACATTTATTCATATCTTAATTTTGATATGATAATATTCCCATTCACTTTTGTTTATTTTTTAAACTGAGTGTGGGTTATCTTCCGTCACACAGTTGCTGGTTGGCATGAGACTGGTACTGAGCTCTCTCTTTTTTATTTTTGTGTAGAACAACTGTGGTGTAGGCCAGAGATGGGGGAGTAAGGGTTGAGAGTATTCACCAGAAACAGAATGGGGAACAGAACAGGCAGATTTACTGAAATACACTGCTGAGGGGAGCTGGGGATGAGATAGGAGAAGTCTGCTGCATCAGGTGAATTAGCTCCCTGACTGGGGTCGAACTTAGCCTGGGAGTGGTAATGGTGCTGAGATTTAACCTCTAGTGGCCTCACATTTATTTTTTAAAATAATTTCTAGTTTTCTTTTACTTAGTTATTTTATATAGATTTTGGAAAATTTCTAAAAATATTTGTCATTCTTTTGTGTGCTAATTTTTTTTCATTATGTTTTATTTTTTATTTGTAAAGTTGATAGAGCTGCCTATGATTTCTGAAATTTTTTCCCAACGACTAATATTTTATAGGTCAAGAAATTGTGGTTCTACTTTATAATGACTGTATACATTCTGTTTATTGATTTGGGAGTGTGGATATGGAGATAATCACTAGCATTAATGACATTGCAACAATTTGATAATCAGTATGGAGGATATATAATACTTGGTCTTTGGTCTCATTAGCGTATCTGTAGTTACTGGACTTAAAGTTATTTTTTTAAGTTTTTTTTTATTTATGCATATAGAACTGGGGGATAGGCCAGAGGTGCAGGGGTGATTAGAGGACTCACCAGAGACATAGTGGGGAGCAGAACAGGCAGTTTGACACAGTATACTGCTGAGGGCAGTAGGTGAGAGAGGAGAGGTCTGCTGCGCCATGTGGGTCACCTCCCTGGCTAAGGAGTGAACTCGCATTGAAGCGGCTGCAACTAGCTTTCCAATAATGTGCTTTAAACTGTTGCGCCATTAGGGAGGGCCTTGGATTTAATTTTAAGACTCAGTAATTTTATTCTGCATAGATAAATAAACATGAAACACGTAGGAACATTTAAAATTTAACGTGTTTTTCTGTGTTCTGACTTTTCTGATATTTAGTAAATAAAATAACTTGTCCAGATTATCTTCATTGTTTGTAAGAGTAAAAGGTCTTGTGCTTATGTAGTATTTCATACAGGAGTAGTAAACCCATATGACTAACTTTGTGGCAGAACTAAATTAAGAACCTGATCTCTTTATTCCCTAACTAGTTCAGTTTTACTGTATTGCAACAGTGCCTCTTTGTAATTCTTCATGTGATAAATTGGTTGAAGAAACGTGTGTGAAAATAAGTGTCAGGATAACTTTGCTAAATGGTTAACCTTGACCAGTTACAGTTCCAGCTTTTTAGATTCTTTCTTTTTCTTTGGTGGTTGGGAATTGTATTGTCTGAGTATTGACTGAAGCTGGATGGGCTTATATGAATTTCAATATTACTTTGATGAAGGTGTCTTGTTCTCCATTACCTCACTTCCCCCTAAAAAGTGTTTTTAAAATGAGAGTTTTTTTTTAATGAATGTGTTTGGCCTCTTTTGTGTGTGTGTGGGTGTAGGAGGTGTGAGAGATGGAATGGGAGCAGAACAGGCAGATTTACCTAAATACACTGCTGAGGGAAGTAGCAGGTGAAACAGGAGAGGTCTGCTGTGCCATTTGGGTTAGCTTCTTGGCTGGGATTGAACTCAAACTGCATTAATAGTGCTGACACTTAGCCTCTAGGCTACCAGAGAGGATCTTGAAAATGGGAATTTCTTCTTCTTCTTTTTTTTTTTTTTTAAAAGATTTATTTATTTATGCTTACAGAACTGGGTCTAGTAGTATAGAACTGGGGTGTGGTAGTAGCGGTGGGTGAGAGGATTCTCCAGAGACAGAGTGGGAGCAGAACAAGCAGATGGACAAAGTACACTGCTGAGGGGAGCAGCGGGCAGGTCAGAAGAGGTTTGCCACACTATGTGGTTCACCTCCCTGGCTGGGGATCGAACTCATGCTGCAGTGGCTTTGGAGAGCTTCATAATGCAGTGCTTTAATCCATTGCACCACCAGTGAGGGCCAGAAAATGAGAATTTCTAATGGGAATTTGCTCTGTATATATTTTTGAGTATACCAAAAACATATGTTCATCCCCTAGTTTTTTTTTTCTTCTTGAGTATTTTTAAATTGAGCTATTAGATATTTGCTCTAAAATTTATGAATTTTATAAGGTACTAGAACACATATAACAGGACTTTTGAATACTTGCAAAATAATCTGTAGCTACCTTTACATCAAATATGTACTATGTGTTCTAGTGTTATAGACATTTAATTATAGTGTAATACTTGTTTATCATGTTTAAATGAGTTATTAGCCTTACTTTAGAATGGGTTTAGAGAGTTTGAATAACTTGCTTAGTCACACAGCTAATCATTGGAGTTGTGATTCAAACTCATGCTTGTCTGACTTGAAATCCTGAGCTCTACCTATTTTGGCATCACGATTTTTAGGTATATGTAGAATTTTATAGTTGAGAAAAATGATTTCATTTACTTCTAAAATAAAGTTGATAGATAGTATTTTGCAGCATTTGGCTTACTATATTCCTACATGTGAAAACTTGCAGTACAGGTTTAATATGTGGTATATCCTGGCCTAAAGTCTAATGATACTGTAAGAACCTAACCTATTTCAGTGGTAAAGAAAGGGGTGTGGGTAGATTGTTTTGTTCCTTCTTTCCATGTCTAGAGTACTTTGACTGATCTATGTGTATGTGTGTGTGTGGGGGGGTATGGTGGAATTATTTCCTAGGAGTAGCTCATTGTATTTGGTACTTTTGGAACAGCATTTTGCTACGGTATCTGTTGTAAGCAATGCTTTCTTTCTTTTGAAGAGCATTGTTTGTCTTGTAGTTTTCCAGTATAGCAAGAGACCAGCTGATGTTGGCATTATGGTGGAATCATAAATGGTGGAATCTCAGACTGGGAATTGGTAATTCAGCAGTTGCTATATCTGTTAACCAAGCAGATATGATTGGGCTCTCTGGGAAGAGAGAACGTGGGCCTGGATTTGGGTGACACTGGGCAGATAATAAGCTATCTGCGTTGACCGCTGCCTTCTCTTATGTGGGCTGCTCTTCATGAGCATCTCTTCCACATTGTCTCTCCCTGGACATTCTTCCTTCAGAAGACATCTTTAGTTGATGACAGTTGGACAGTTATGTACTTAATATGTTCATCATGTGACATGTTCCAACTCAGGCAGTGTGGGTACAGGGCAGGGCAGGAGTTTTCTCATGTTACATATATCAACACAATATTTTTGATGTTGCCTTTTGCATGGCAAAACATATATAAAAAGTTTGCCAGTCTTTGCTCTATCACCTATTAGCTTCCTTGCTGTTCAACACTCCAGGGTATGCTGTCGCTTGCTGTTCTATCCAGTGAGTATGTTTTCTCTTTCTTTTTTTTTGTACAAGTTTTTTTTTTTTTTAAAAGATTTATTTATTTATTCATACAGAACTGCCAGAGGTGCAGGGGTGGTGTCTCTCACCAGAGACAGAGTGGGGAGCAGAACAGGCAGATCAACGAACTATACTTCTAAGGGGAGCAGCGGGTGGGTCAGGAGAGGTCTGCTTGTGCCATGTGGGTCAGCTCCGGGGCTGGGGATTGAACTCATACTGAAGCAGCTGCGGCCACCTTGCAGTGCTGCGTCCTAACCTGTTGCACCACCAGGGAGAGCCCTATTTTCTTTTTCTTTAATAATTTCTGTTGATACCCAAAATAGAGAAACTTGGATTTTAGTTTTTTAGAGATGAGGAAAAATTTGCTTTCTTGAAACTCAGTATTTTACTAGTTTATTTGTTTGGGGCTAGCTGTAATGCTGCTTTTGTGGAGCTTAGAATTTGAGAGAAAAGACTTAAATACACATATTGTAAAATGTGTTAAGTTTTATAAAGGAGTTGTTCAGAGGTCTAGAGGCTATAAGTGGAGAGGGGAGCTAATCTAAAAAGAAGTTAGATTGACTGCCCTTGATATGTCTGCCAGCATGTGGGCCATCTTAGTCTGTGCAGCATTATCACTTGACCAGATTACTGTATACTCTCCTGATTTATTACTTTTAACTTTTACTCCACACTTGCAAGTCAGTTTTGTACATAGCACCCACGGTGATATGAAAATTGTTTGACTCTTCTCCAAACCCTTTTGTATTTGGTAAAATGTATTTGGTAGTATCCCTTCCTTTTCAATTTTTTGAAAGAGTTTGTATAGGATAGGCACCAGTTTGTTTGTGGAATTCATTTGTAAAGCCATCTGGTCCTGGGCTTTTGTTTTGGGGGAAGGTTTTGATTACTATTTCAATTTCACTGCTTGAATTATTCTGCATAGGTGTTCTATTTCTTCTCTGTCTAGCTTTGGATGATTCTAAAGTTATAGGAATTGGTCCGTCTCTTCTACCTTGTTGAACCTGTTGCATGTAACTGTTATTTTGATTTCTGTTGTAGTAATTTCTCCTCTTTTGCGTATGATCTTATTTATTTGTGTTTTCTCCTTTTTTTTTTTGGTGAGCCTGGCTAGAGGTTTTTTCTTTTTGTTTATTTTTTTCAAAGAACCAACTTTTGGTTTCATTGATAGTTTGAATTGTTTTCCTAATTTCATTTTCATTTATTTCTACTTTGATTTTTATTATTTCCTTTCTTCTACTGGCTTTTGGTCCCGTTCCGTTCCCCCCGTTCCCCCCCCCACCAGTTCTTTAAGGTGAGAGATTGGGTTGTTTCTTTGGGTTCTTGTTGCTTGAGGTAAGACTGTATTGTGATTTATTTTCCTCTTATAACTGCTTTCGCTGTATCCCATATTTTCTGTAGAGTTGTGTCCTTACTATCATTCATCTCAAGGTATTTTTTGATTTCTGCTTTGATCTCCTCATTGATCCGGTAGTCCTCCAGTAGTGTGGGTTTCCATGAGGTAGGAGGGTTCCTTGTTTTTTTTTTTTCTTCCATGGCTATTTCTAGTTTGGTGCCTTTATGGTCAAAGAAGATGGTATGATTTTGATCTTAGTTGCTGTCTGTCTTGTGTCCCAGTATGTGATCAATCCGGGAGAATGATCTGTGTGCACTTGAGAAAAATGTGTACTCCAGTTTTTTTGGGTGCAGTGTTCTACAGATGTCTCTTTAGCCCATGAGATCTAGGTCCTTGTTTAGAACACTGTTGTCCTTGTTTACTGTTTGTCTTGTTGATCTATCCATTGGGGAGAAGGTGTTGAAGTCTCCCCCTACATGTGTATTTTCTCTGATGCCTGTTTTCAGAGATGATAATAATTGTCTGATATATTTGGTAAGTATATGTTGATAACTGTTACATGTCTTCTTGATGTATTGCACCATTAGTTATATTGTAGTGACTGTCTCTTTTTATGTTTTTTAGTTTGAAGTCTTTACAAATAATTATTTTTTATTTATTTATGCATACAAGAACTGGGATTCGGGCCAGAGGTGTGGGGTGTGGAGGACTCACCAGAGACAGAGTGAGGAGTAGAACAGCTGAATCTGCTGAAATACACTGTTAAGCGCAGCAGCAGGCAAGACAGGAGAGGTCTGCTGTGCATGTTGGTTAACTCTGGTTGGGGATTGAACTCCTGCTGCAGTGGCTGGCAATAGCTTGGTAGTGCTGAGACTTTAACCTCTCTGCCACCAGGGAGGCCTTGAAGTCTGTTTTACCTGATAATAGTATAGCGGTAGCTGGCTTCTTTTTTGGTTCATTTGCTTGTAGGATTGTTTTCCATCCTTTCACGTTCAGCCTGTGTTACCTTTTGCGTCAAATGTGTTTCCTGGAGTAGCAGCAGGTTAGGTTCTGTTGAACACTGCTTTTTGTTTGATGATCATTCTGCCTGCTGTGTGGAGAATAGGTTGAAAAGAATAAGTAGGGGAAATGGGAACTTTTGTAGTAGTCTATTGGAAAGAGGGTGGTAGTTTTGATAAACTGTGGGGCAGTTGTGAAGATGGGCAGAAGTGGACAAAATCAAATCATTTGGAAGTTAGTAAACCTGTTTTTAATTAGCATTTTAATAGGTACTAATTTGCCCAGTGAGTATCTTAATTCAAGCTAGTATTATAAGAAATAGTTTTCCTGGGGAGATGTTAGTTTGCTTTTTTAGTGGTAATAGTTGATAAATATTTTTCTTTGATGATGAGTTTGAGTTTTTGTTTTTTTTTTAAAATTTATTTATTTATTCATACAGAACTGGGGTACAGGCCAGAGATGTGGAGGGTGAGAGGATTCACCAGGAACAGACAGATCGACGAAGTACACTGCTGAGGGGAGGAGCGGGCGGGCCAGGAGAGGTCTGTCACGCCATGTGGATCTCCTCCGGGGCAGGCTGTGATCAAACTCATGCTGAAGTGGCTTAAGCTTCTTAGTGCTGTGCTTTAACCCGCTGCTCCACCAGGGAGGGCCCTATATATTTTT